CCCCCCGCCAATAGGTTCGGTTTTTTTGTGATTTTTTGACTAAGCGAGGCCCCCTAACGTGTTCTTCCAAAGGGATACGTGTAAAATCGATCAAAACCGGCCAAAATCGGTCAAAACTAGCCAAGCTGAGGAACACTGTCACCGTGAGTGGCGGAGCCAGCATCGGAGCATGGCGGCGCTGCCATGCTGGAACCCTAAAATGGGCCGAAAATGGTTTTCAACACCAATTTTGAGTTTTTATAGTATGTTTAGGTACGTAATGAGTATTTTAGATTCTCATATAAAATATTCAAGAAACCTTGGACCCCTTAGGAGGCATAGTAGATAGTACGATATTTCGAAACACCGATCTGGGTAAGAATTTCTCATTCTATTCTCGGTTACGGTAAATTGAGGATTAATAATCGATAATTATGTGTTTTATGAAAAAATTAGAAAAACCCTAAAAATATTACAAGTCACCAATTGAGCCGAAACTGGTTAGTTTACATTTGTCCTGATTCCCCGTTTATTTTCCTGTACTACCTATATTTTCTTACTATTATACTGTGCGTAATTGAATTGATGATTTTTATGGTCTTCTCAGTTATTTGGTTATTTAGTTCCTCCTGTATTGTTTATTCGGTATTCTGGTTATTGGTTATTTGACTATGCTAAATTATATCACTTGTTTAAGTACCATTTGAATTAATATGTGAATATGAAATGAGATGTGAGTATACTTTAGTGGTTGTTTGGATGATGATAGTCTAAATAAATAAAAGCTTACTAGGCATCCTAAGAAAGGGTGGACGGATCCGGTATATTGGGAATCCTACTGTGGACATTATTTAAGTCGGACGGGGCTGAGAAGTCTCATACCATAAGGGTTTTGGAGATATAGTTTACCCTTATACCGGACGGGATATCGAGACGACGGTGTTTTTGGCGTCCATTACTGGATGGGGTGTGGGGTCGGCCAGGTTAATTGTCAAATCTTGATACTGGGTTCAAGATTAGAAGGATATCGCTATGGATCCCCCAATGGTCCCAGTAAGTAGGTTAAAAAGGAAGGATTATTGATTCTATGCATGAAATTGAAATGTCATTCGGTTAATTGTCTTCATATGTTGATTTTAAAAAAAACTGTAACGGTAAGTATCGAATAAAAAATTTTAAAGATAAATGTATTTACTTAAAGTAAGGGGTCTATTAGTTGTTTTCTGATTTTTACCAATTTTCGGTTTTCTATATCAGTGATTACTCTGATATTCTTACTAGGCTAGTATACTTACCATTTCATTAATAATTTCAGATGAAGAAAACCAAGATCTAGATCCTAATCAGTAAGAGGGTTGTGAGTAGTCTATCTCCCGGACTCCCTTCAAATGCTAGTGAATGTTGCCCTAAAATACTTGTTTATTTATTTTTTTTTAATTAACGTTTTTCTTTTATGAACCACGTAGAAGGGACATTTTCGTAACTCTATTGGACAATTCAATTTATTGTGTAAGGAATGTAAACCCTAATATTATCATTCGCTTTCAAATTATAAATTCATTTCCTTTAAGGTTTCAGGTGTGTACATATTAAGTTAGTTTTTGAAGTGAAAATATTTAAAATAAATTATTAAAAATTAGTTTATTATGTATTTTAAATATTAAATATTTTTAATTTTTTAACAGAAAAAGTTAAAATAGATATACTATATTTAAATATTTTAAAAATAACTCAAAAAAATAACTTTAGTAAACATATGTTTATTGATATCAATTTATAATTTAATTAATTAGCTAAAATTATTTTTTAAAACATTTAAATATAATATAATCATTTAAATATAATATAATATAATTAATTAGTTAAAATTAATTTAGATTTTAATTCAAATGATTTATTATTTTTTTATTATTATAATTTTGTGCAAAATTGAATCACGAAATCTTGGGCGTCGGTACCCAGGTGAAATTGTGATTCTTAGTCAAAAAGGGTCAATGCCACATGTAACATCACCCTAACAATTCTTTTTTCTTTCTTTAAATTTTAATAATTATGAAGTTGAAAAATTAAAAGTTTAAAAGAAAAATTTATAATAACATCGAGGTAGCTAATTTCATTGACTTAATTGATCATGATTTTATTTATTGGAAAATTATATAGACAAAGTTAAATATATTAAACTTTAAACTTTAACATGAACTTTCTGTCCAGCTTGGCAGTGACCTGCGAAACCACAGAAGTAGTAGTAATCTCCGCTGCTTTTCAAACTAATCGAATCGGATCCTGTCGTGTATGTGGCAATTGGAGACGCCGCATTGCATGACTCGAAATCTTCCCTTTTAACTTGTTTCACGTTGTGAAGTTGCTTATTGTACTCGAAAACTGCACCATTTTATGCACAAAACCATTATTATAACTTACCATCGACATATATACATTCATACATACATGCATACATACATACATACAAGTATTGTAATGTATATACCTAGAGTGTCCCCGACATGGAAAGTGTTGGAGGAAGCCCATTTTTGGTAATCAGCAGCGGGACTCCACCCAGCGGAGTCACCGACCTTGTGAACAGCACCGAGAGAGAATCCCCAGAGAGCCATGGTGATCACCAAAAAGAACAAACCCATCCTCATGATTTTACTCACAGCTATTATTTTTAATTGTTTGGAAAGACAAACAAGCGAGGCAGACAAGTAGTGGATGACTTGAAGTCGTGATAGTATATATATACATAATTCAATCAAGTTTTATTAATTATGACCAAGAAACACGTTTGGATGCTAAATTCAAAAATTCTTAATTTAATATTATCTAAACTTTAAGAAAATTGATATTTTACCAAGTTAAAAAAAATTAAAACATTACAATTCATGATTTCTTTTAAATAACTATTGATCTCAATATTAATTTTGTGCTAATTCAATTTTTATACTTTAAAAAATTATTAGATTTAGTTACTCATTATTTTTGGTATTAAATACTATTAATATGTATTTAAAGTATTAATAAAATTGACACGTGATATAAATTAATTAAAAATTTTTTTTACATAAATTGTTACCTTCGTCTGACATGACAGTTGAAATGTCAATAATTTTAATTTAAAACTACCTTAATTTGTTTAAATTAATAAAAAATTTGTTTATACAATCTCTATATTTTCTGAGATTACCCAATATTGATGATCTTTCACCGGGTCACCCATCTCAATTTCAAATAATTTTTAAATATATTTAACATTTAATTTGAGCGGTGTAATATTTTTTGAGAAGTTAAATATTCGAGTATCATGAGGTGTATTTTTCATTCATATATTATTATTAAAAAAATTAATATATTATATCTATATATCACTCAATGGTATATATATATAATTCAATTATATTTTATTAATTATGACCAAGGAACACGTTTGGATGCTAAATTGGAAAATTCTAAAATTAATATTATTTAACTTTAAGAAAATTGATACTTTACCAAATTAAAAAAATTAAAACATTACAACTCAAGATTTCTTTTAATTAACCGTTGATCTCAGTATCAATTGTGTTCTAATTTAGTTTTTATCTTTTAAAAAATTATTAAATTTAGTCACTCTTTGTTTTAGCTTTTAACACTACTAATATATATCTAATGTGTTACCAAAATTAACATGTGATATAAATTTATTAAATGCTTTTTCTACATAAATTATCACATTTACATAATGTGACAATTGAAATGACAGTAATTTTAATTTAAACTTGCCTTAATCTATTCAAATTAATGAAAAAAAAATGTTTATAGTATCCCATATTTTCCGAGCTTAACCCAATATTGATGATCTTCATTGGGTCACCCGTCTCGACTCCCAACAATTCTTAAATATATTTGACATTTGACTTGAGTGGTGTAACTTTTTTTGAGAAGTTAAAAATTCGAGTGTCATAAGGTGTGTTTTTTATTTGCAAAATGTCAATAAAAAATTAGCTTATATATATTTATATATATCATTCAATGGAATATATAAAGTATATATGAAACCAATCAAATATATATATATATATGTAAATTGATATATCTATGTATCACTCAATGAAATATATAAAAAACTTTGATCAAATTGTTGATTCTGGCTTCTACATCAATTCTGTTTGCATTCTTAGTGTAAAAGGAAAAACATATGTTTTCTTCGAGTGTATGTCGGATGGATTGGTGATATAGTTTTTTTATTTTATTCGTTTTTGTATAGAGACAGCAGCAGTTATATGACTAAGCCTTGGGTAAGGCTTACACCCAGAAGCTGTAAGGCTTACACCCAGAAGCAGCAGCTGATATCAGATCGTGCACATGCAAGGCTTATACCCTAGGCATAACATCATATACAAAATTTTCAAAATCTATCAAAAAAAAAAGAGAAAATAGGAAAACAAATAAAAATGAGTATTTTAAACATGGAAAGAGACCGGGATCATAGGAGGAAAAAATACTAGTTGCCCACAGCTTGACCCTTTAAATAGAAGAAGAAAAAGAGGCCAACAACAGCAAGAAAAACGCAACAGCAAATTTCGTCTGTAATACCATGGGCTGAAATTTGGCCCGAAATTTTTTTTTTCAACGTATATAATATATATAAATATAAATAAATTTTATTTTAATTTAATTTTTATTAAATTTTGATATAAAAAAATGAATTAAGGATAAAATTAAAAATAATTATGGGAAAAAGGGATGAAATTGTGAATAAGGAGGGGTACTTTGAAAGAAAATTTAGAAACAGGGAGTGAAATTGCAAAAGAGAAAATATGACCACATGGGACGACCACGTTAACAGCCACGGTGAACCAAAATACGTCGTGTGATGGAGACACTAACATCAGCTCCACGCGAGAGGCCACATGGGCGATCCGCGTGTTTGGACAATCCACCGGTCCAGATCACATCCCGCGCGCACGAACGGTTCAAATACGTTTCCTCTTCAGGCATAATCGAATGGTCAGATCCAATCTGATCATGCAGAGAAAATTCATTTCTCGAATAAGAATGATCCAACGGATGGAAGAGGGACATGTGTCTCCGCACAGATGGCCCAGATCAACTCGGAGAGGGTATTTAAATATCGCGTTCCAGGGAACCCTAACCCTAACTGCACTAGTCCTCGCTGGAAAAGAAGAAGAAGGGCGGCCGAAAAAGAAACTGACCGCCATTGTCGCCGCACCGGAACCACCACCGATGCTGAAATAGGTAATTTTTTTCCTTCTTGCTCGGAATTTGATCCCGAGTCTCCTTATGCCAAAATCAAAGCCAAAGGGTTGATGGGTGAGCTAAAAACCGTTGCCAAAACTCGGCTGAGCCGCCACAGCCAAAACCCAAAACCCTATCCGATGACCCCCTTCCCATTTTCCATTTCACATGATTTTTTAACTAATGTGTTCGTCATCCCTTTCTATGCAGATTAGTTGAAGAAGAAACCCTAGCCGCGAAGGAGAACCGACAGAGTCGTCGCACCCAGAGACCCCTTGCCCTCCCCCCCTTCGCTGGTATGTTTGATTTTGTTTTATTTTTCTGGCCAACTAAGGCTTCCTAATATATTTTTTTTACAGGGATACGTGTAAAATTGAATAAAATTGGCCAAAATTGACCAGATCGAGGTGACTTGCCACCATGAGCGACGGAGCCAGTGCTCGAGCACGACGACAGCGCTGTGCTAGAACCCTAAAATTGGTCGAAAAGGGTTTTCAACATTGATTTTAGATTTTTGGGGTATTTTTAGGTACGTGACAAGTATTTTAATTTTTGCAGAGAAAATTTAAAAAAACCTAGGGCCCATCAAGAGATGTAGTGGGTAGCACAACATTTCAAAATAATGATTCGGGTAGGGATCCCTCACCCTATTCTCTGTTACAGTAAATTAAGACTTAAAAATTAATAATTTCGTGTTTTGTGAAAATTAGAAGAACTCTAATAATAATTATAAGTCAATAGTGGAGTCAGAACTGGTCAGTATACGATTGCCCTAATTTACTATTCATTTCTCCTGTATTGCTTAAAATATTGACTATTGAATTATGTGCATTAAATTGCTAGTTTGAACTGTACCCTCGGTTATCTGCTTTATTTGGTTCTCCTTGCACTGTTTATTTGTTTATTTGGTTATTTGGTTTCTCAATTATCATAAATTATATTGCTTACTTAGATGCCTTTTAGGTTAATCTGTAAATACATAATGAGGCATTGGTATGTGATTGGTGGTTATTTGGATGATGAGGATCAATATATGTGGAAACTTATTGGGTACCCTGGGAAAGGGTGGATGGATCCGGTACATAGGGAACCCTACTGTGGACATTATTTTAGTCGGATGGAGCTGAGAAGTCCCATACCGGAAGATTTTGGGAGATATGGTTCACCCTCATACCGGACGGGGTATCAAGGGGATGATATGTCTGGTGCCCATCACCGGACAGGGTATGGGGACGGCTGGAATAATTATCAATCTAGATATTGGAGTTCACGAGTAAAGGGATATTTTTATGGACCCTCAAGGGTCCAAGTAAGTAGGTTAAAAGGAAGAGTTACAGATCTTATGCTTGAAATTAAAAAGTCATCTGGTTACTTATCTTCATAGGTTGATTTTGAAAAATCTGTAATAGTAAGTATCGAATAAATGTTTTAATATTAAATGTATTTACTTAAATCAATGGTGATTTTTACCAACCTTCAATTTTTCGTATCAGTGATTTGTGTGATACCCTTATTGGACTAGTGTAATTCACTCTTTTATTAACTATTTCATACTAAGAAGACCAAGATCCAGATCCCGATCAGCAAGAAGGATGTGAATAGTTCATCTCCCGGACTCCCTTCAAGTGCTTGTGGAGGTTAACCCCCTAGGATATCTATTTATTTATTTTTAATTATCGTTTGATTTTTTTTATGATCTAATGTAGAAGGGACATTCTTGTAGCTCTATTGGGCATTCCAATTTACTATGTAAGGAATGTAAACCCTAACTTTATTGTTCACTTTTACATTTAGATAATAAATCTTTTTCTTTTAGTTCGGGTTTTTACACCGTCTTCCTTAATCATCTTTTCTGCGATTTCTTCAGTTGATTTTAAATAAAGCTTTCTGGTGTATCATGCTCGCTATGAGCAGACAAACTCTAACTTTCAGTCAAGGATTTAATTGAAGTTTTAATACAATCTTTGAGATCTAATTACTTTACTTTTATTCTTCCTTATTTTCAATATTCATATATTCTTTTGTCTATAAGAACATTGTTGTTTGTTATTTATTGCAGTAGGGCTCATTGTGCATCTAGTGTAATAGCATATCATCATTCGGGATTCTTGAATCCGTAGTTGTTTAGGATATCCTGATAACTAGTGGTAAATTGGTGTTCACACTAAGAAAATATATAATATAATCTAAATAAACTGCGCAGTTGAGTTTGTTGGTTAGAATTTGATCTCTCTAGTTTTAATACTATTAGTGAATTAAACTCTAAGAGTGTTTCTGGGGTTGTTTATTAGTAACAGTTAATCAACAAACGTCTTTCGGTTAATTTAAAATTAAGGAAAGAGTGGCTATTAGGAGTATCTTCAGTAGCTAGAATCGATTTATTGAGAATTAGTAATAATTATCTTTACGT